ACATACACACACTCACACGCACTCTTACACACACACACACACACACACACTTCTATAAATACTGTGCTTCTGAAAGCATCTCTGATCGTCACAGCGGTTCATTATCATTTGTCTCTTGAGCGTCTGCAATTGAAAGTGACGTGAAAGTGAAAGTGACGTGACATGTGGCCAAGTATGGGGACCCATACTCAGAATTAGTGCTCTGCATTTATCCCATCCAAAGTGCACACACACAGCAGTGAACACACACACACCGTGAACACACACCCGGAGCAGTGGGCAGCCATTTATGCTGCGGCGCCCGGGGAGCAGTTGGGGGTTCGGTGCCTTGCTCAAGGGCACCTCAGTCGTGGTATTGAAGGTGGGAGAGAGCGCTGTACATTCACTCCCCCCCCCTACAATTCCTGCCGGTACGAGACTCGAACCCGCAACCTTTGGGTTACGAGTCTGACTCTCTAACCATTAGGATCACACTTGTCAGTGTGATGTGATCCTCATAACGCTCACTGAATCATCAGCCAATCAGAATCCATCCTGCTTTAAAGAGCTCAAGCAGCAGATGACAAAACTGCAGCGCGTTAATAATAAACAATGTTATCGTCCATTGGTCTGCATAAAATTTAGTTATCATTATTGCTGAATTTATCAACATAGTTAATATTGTTACATTTTTAAAGTTATCGTCATTATAGTTGAGTGTTTGATTGTGTCCTGTGGCTCCTCCCACAGCTGTAACTGTAACGCTCAGACTCCGCCCACTGTGAAGGTGGCGGTGGCGGGTGATCAGAGCTATCTCAGTACAGTGCTGCGCTTCTTTGTAGAGCAACTGGCCAATAAGACGCCTGATTGGCTGAGCTACATCCGCTTCCTCATCATCCCCATCGGTGAGTGCTGACACTGATCGTGAGCCCATAATGCTGCTTTATTATGTGTCCGGTGAGTTTTACACGCTATATGTGTCTGTCTCGCAGGTTCCCATCCTCTGGCCAAGTACGTGTCGACATTCGACAGTAAGTTCAACAGTATGTTCATGGACCCGTCGTGGAGGGAGCTGTTCTGCCGGTCAGAGACTCCCAGCGCAGGTACTGACTGATGTGTGTGATGTTAATGAAGCGTAAATGAGCCTCTCGGATGTGTTTGTTAGTGAGAGCTCAGTGAGGGGAAGATATTCAGGGACTGACAGATGCGTGAGTGTCTGTTTCACTCGCATCTGTCTCACATTAGACAAATTTCCATTCAGACCTCGCTCATTCTCACATTTGCCCTTATTCTCCCACCGGCTCGTCTCGCGCTCATTTACACGAGTGTGACTCTGATGTTTATATGGAGATCAAACTGCAGCCGTGACATTAACTACTGTCTGTCCATCTGCACGCAGGTTTCTGGTGCTCAGGAAATGAGGTCACGTCTGCGAGCTTCACGCTCTCTTTCAGTCGGTCACATAAATAGATTTTACAGCACGAGGCTTTTACAGTCCTGTTCATACTGCGCCCGCAGCAGTGCATCAGCTCCTCATATGTAGGTCAGCGCACTGTGTGTGTGTGTGTGTGTGTGTGTGTGGTCATGTGGCATCTCTCTGTTCTCAGTGGATTCTGATGATGCCATTGGCGGGAATGTGGGCGTGGTTTCCTCACCCTTGCCGCAGTCGGCCACGCCCTATGGGAAGGAGATGTGTGTGACTCCGCCCCCGTCACCCTCGGCGTGTGCTGTTTTCACTGGCATGGGGTATGACATCATCACACGAGTGTGTGTGTGTGTGTGTGTGTTTGAGTGAATCTGGGTCACATTACAGCAGTAAATCAGCATACTGTATTTTCCAGAAAATAAATCATCATATGAAACGTGCTGAGACTTATGAGGCACACTAAAGCTGCTGAAAGCGCACTTTCGTATTGCTGTCGGATGAGAGAGGCACGTGAGCATACACTGTAAAATAAATTCTGTAAAATTTACGGTAAAAAAACGCCAGCTGTGGTTGCCGGAATTTTACTGTAAAAAATACGGTTGCAACATTTTAGGTTTTACAGTTTTAACTTAAATTTACAGTTAAATACCGTAATTTCATTAACTGATATAATGTTACTACACCAACCTATTGAATGTTAATATACCAACCTATCTGTTTTGTAGCTTTGCCCATCACAAGCAGCTTTTAGATAATAACACATATAGAAGCTGCACAGCGTCATTCACACAAACACTAAACACCATCACGGTAACACACATGAAACTGAAATAATGCAATAAACATTAATTTAACAACATTAGGTGTAACACACAACCCTAATATACAAAACTGATGAGAAAAAACTAAGAAGAAAACATTATTTCAACATAAAAACATCAAATGTGAAATGTATTGCAGGGAATTCTGGGAATGTCAATTTACGGTTATTCACTGTAAATTATACGGTCTTTTTCACTTCCAAAAATGGTATACTACCGTAAAATTGCATGTAATGTCCAATACAGCTTTTCACCGTATACAGTAGAGGAATTTACCGTTAACCATTTTTACAGTCTTTTACCGTTAATTTTTTACAGTGTACTTATTTCCCACACCGTTAGTTTGGGCTTGGCGTTTATAATAAATGTTGTTTATAACAAATGCCACTTTTTTATACTTATATACTTATATTCTGTTGTGAGTAGCGATAAATGTGAAGGATTTGTCGTAGTAGTGACGCACCGTCATTTCAGCAACCGAAAATATACTGCTGAAAATGAATGTCCACTGCTAGAAAAACATCTAGAGCGCGTTTTAATAAACATATGCACTACATTACATATTCATTACATTCTTACTTAACCTGCTGTCTTCATTATTTTATGTTTATGAATAAATCTGCTAATAATAAAACAACTGCCATTCAGATACTTATATTTCAACAAGGATTTACTTTGAACTGCCTTATATAAAGCCCAGTGGTCATTTATAGCATTTACATATTATAAAATTCTGACATTTTTTAATTAATTGATTATTAAGTAAACTTTTATTGTCAGTGTTGTTTTTTTGGCTAATTGGAAACATTAATTTTGGTTTTGGTAAAAAAATAATAAATTGTTTTATAATGATTTTAAATGTGTTGTTTTATCAGTATTTCTGAACGTAATAATAAAAGCAACTTGTCCGTGATATCTTCATGTCTCAACAATGCAGTTCCGACCCGGTGCATCTTCTGATCAGGTGCGACTTATTTTCCGGAAAATACAGTAAAGATTGTTCATATTCTTCAGACTGTTTCTGGAACTGTTGCTGGTTCATTTGAGCCCTAAATCTCTTACTGTAATGCAAATACTGTACATGTTTTACTGGTTTACAAATCATTGTAAAAATAATAAGAACTCAAACACATTGCAGTGATCAGAGTTTGAATGTGGTGTGTTCTTGACGTGTGTGTATGTTTGCGTGTTTGTGTGTTTGCGTGTGTGTGTGTTTGCATGTTTGTGTGTGGGTGTGTGTGTATGTGTGTGTGCGTTTGCATGCATGCGTGTGTTTGCGTGTGTGTGTGTGTGTGTGTGTGTGTGTGCGTGTGTGCAGTTCTCCGTGCACAGGTGGAGAGCTGATGGGGCTGCAGGTGGACTACTGGACGTGTCAGAGCGGAGAGAAGAAGCGTGAGAGTGAGAAGCGTGATGTGGGTCTGAAGAACACACTGAAGAGTAACTTCCGCTCGCTGCAGGTCAGCCGTCTGCCCAGCGGAGGAGACCCCAGCGCTCCCCACAGCATGGCCATGACCGTCGTCACCAAAGAGAAGAACAAGAAAGGTGCACAACACACACAGCAGCAGTGTATAAGGGCAGGGCTTCTCTCAGGTCCTGTAGCTGGCGTTCTCATGGCGTCAGTTTTAATAATCAATCTGCTCACATACAGCGACGGCGCTGCAGATGTCAGTGTTGTCTCGCGTGTCTTGCAGTGATTTTTCTGAGTAAGAAGCCGAAGGAGAAGGAGGTGGACTCTAAGAGTCAGGTGATCGACGGCATCAGCCGGCTCATCTGCGCGGCCAAACACCAGCACACCATGCTCCGAGGTGACGCATTCAGCTGATCACAATAGTGCAGAATAATAATAACTACAGTATCGACATCATTAAACAACAATGCAAAAATACGATCAAATAAAATAATATCATGCTTCGTTGTCATGGGTTTGACTCGGTGTGTTTGTGTTTCAGTCTCCATCGATGGCGTGGAGTGGAACGATGTGAAGTTCTTCCAGCTGGCCGCGCAGTGGCCGACTCACGTCAAGCACTTCCCCGTCGGTGTGTTCGGCTACAGCAAACACGCGTGACGTCACGCCTGCACGAGGACACGTCACTGGCTGCCTCCGGTTCGTTCGTGTGGTCGCGTGTGTTTTCAGTGGCACTACATACACAGAGCAGGTCATGCTTCCTCTGAAGATGGCTGCCATCGGTCATGATGACGGACGGCAAACACCAAGCACTTTCTGTTTCTTGCTACTTTATCATTTCTGTGAAATCCTGTGTTGAATTTTGCAGGTGCATGATGGGATTGATAGAGAATACGCGTGCGCCGACAGGCCGTGTTGAGGCGTTTTGCTGTGAATTTAAATTGATTTTTTTACCCTGATGTAAACGCTAGTATTTTGTGATAACACATTGAATATGAAACTGTTAAACTGAACCTGCCTTTCAAAGCACATCTTGTATTATCAATTACATCAATGCTTCAAAGTTTCAACCTCCAACAGATCATCATTACTTTTTAATTCATTTTTGACAGAATATACTTTAACGGCACCTTCTGATCACACTGCAACAGTGCAAATGTCTGAAGATTCTTAAATCAAGATGCATTTAATGGAGACACCCAGTGAAGTTTGCGAGGAACATGCAGAATCCGTCGAGCTCCTTTTATCATGGGACTGATTGGATCTGAGTGTGTGTTGAGTCTCGTTGCTTCAGTGTTTTCACTCCCACTCCAGATGCCAAACACAGACTCCAGTTCACCAAAGCTGCTTCATCACACGCAGTATTTGCACTTTTACTACAGTAAAAGAGTTCTGTATGAGCAGATCAACCGGCTGCTTTAGCTCCAGCACTTTGATTTAAAGCGACAGTGTACCCAAAAAACATCATTCTGTTGTCATGTGCTCTCCCTCGCGTCATTCAAACCCATATGACTGACTGTGGGGAGATATTTAGAGAAATGTCTCAGTGTTTTTTGTCCATATAGTCCCGATGTCGTCTTTTATGTTCACGGAGGAAATGCACAGCTTTGAGTAAATGATGACAGAATGCTGATTTTGTGGTGAACTGTCACTTTAGGAACCACTATGAACTCGTTCTCCGTGTATGCTCGCGCAGATGCGTTTACATGAAGGTTCTGTGTACGTCTGTTAGACGAGAGTCACACCATCAACTTTAGTACATGTGTGTGTGTGTGAGTGTGTGTGAGTGTGAGAGAGAGAGTGAGTGTGTGTGTGTGTGTGTGTGTGTGAGTGAGTGTGTGTGTGTGTGTGTGTGTGAGTGTGTCAGTATGTGTGTGTGATTGTATTGAACAGGTCACGTCTCACAGCATGAATAATCCACTGCGGCTCATATACGGGACGCTGACTGCTGCACCTTTGCACAGAACCTCATTTTTAAATTATGTGACAGACTTTTTAATGCATGTTTCGTGTGTAATGGCATTTTATAGCGCTGCTTCTTTCCATGCTTGCACATGCAGTTGTGTTTAATAAAGCGTTTTTATCCAGTGGTGAACGACTCTCTGGTTGTGTGGTCTCTGATCGTCACACTGACAGACTCAGACTCGTATTTGTAGATTACATTTAATAGATGTCAGCTTGTTTTCTTTCGTTTAGCACAGGTTTTATTCTGCTTTTAGGAACTGATTGATCGCAGGCCTCGTTGACCTGAGCTCATGACCTAAAAAAAGCATGATTTGTGGATAATTTTGGCAATGTTCACTCAAAAACTGAGCTCAGATCAATGAGGCCTGCGATCAATCAGTTCCTAAAAGAAGTATAAAAGCTGTGCTAATGGAGAGAAAACAAGCTGATGAGCGATGGGCTGACCTCGATGACCTTCTCCTGGATGAGGAAGCGTTATTATGGATTATGGACTCGTTTTAGTTAAAAGCATCCGTGTATCATTCGATCATTCGTTTTTTTGATTTAATATTGAAAGTAGAAAAATGAGAAAACGGCTCCTTTTTCATTTTTTTCCAAAACACGAAAAACGAGAATTCAGCTTAAATGGGTGGAAAAATTAATAAACAGCTTGAACATTGGATTTCTACATGTGGGCGGGATTAAACGCCCCTTTCTGCTGATTGGTCAGCCGAAGATCAAACCGTGCCGTCATCAGTTCTTCCTCAGTTCCGTGCAGCCGAATAATAGTCCTCCACTGCTGCAGTTGTACAGATTAATAACACATTTTATCAATTTCATATTTGTCATCAAACAAACAGACTAATGATTAGCTGGACACAACTTGTACCGGGGCAGAGTCTAGACAGGGCTTTCTTCTGTGTAGACCAGCGGTTCTTAAAGTGATCGGGGGTCCGAGAAATAATTAGCTATAGCCTAAAGTATTTCCAGACTGTAAAGTCGTTTTTTTTTTATCATGATACATCGGCCTACTGTGATTTATTCCAAAGTGATTTATATGATGCATTTAACGTCAAATAATCTAAATTAAGACATTTTATCAATTTCATATTTGTCATCAAACAAACAGACTAATGATTAGCTGGACACAACTTGTACCGGGGCAGAGTGTAGACAGGGCTTTCTTCTGTGTAGACCAGCGGTTCTTAAAGTGATCGGGGGTCCGAGAAATAATTAGCTATAGCTATATAAGTATTTCCAGACTGTAAAGTCGTTTTTTTTTTATCATGATACATCGGCCTACTGTGATTTATTCCAAAGTGATTTATATGATGCATTTAACGTCAAATAATCTAAATTAAGCCTTTTAAAAGACGAGTATTCCCTGTGGTTCGTGTTTGTGGCATGCGCCAGGAAGATGCTCAAGGAGACCGAGACGCGCTAAAGCAGCGCATTCTGTTGTCCTCTTTATTTTTCAAAGGCATGACATTTTGTAGTTATTTTGAACGTAACGTTACACAATTAAAATATAAATTTTACCATACGACTATAAATGACAGAGTATTAAGTTATTTCCCCTCGATGGGGAAAATAATCCAAGTGAACTTCAATCAGTACTCAATATTAATGTAAACTGCTTTAAATATGACTGCTGCTTATTTCCAGTCTGCGCTTGACTGTAGTCGCGTCTGTCTGCTTATTGAGTTTATTTAACCCATCGCAGTTTACTGGAGCTGTGTGAACTAGAGTGACTACTCACCTTAATGTTGTTCTAAAGGCTTATTTACTTAATAATGTCCTGCTGGCGCTTGCCAATTTAATGGCAGAGAATGGTGACTTTAGGTTTGTTGTTGTTTTGAAGCGGTGAAGCGGATGTGGTAAAATAATCCTATGCATCTCGTGGCGTATATTCCAAGCATTCTGAA